GATCAGTTTTTTTCTGTAACTCATTTATTATTTTTCACATTGTTTTCCATTTATTATCTGAAATACTTATCAACTGTCATAGTAGTTTTTCCATGCATTTTTCAGTTCCACTCGATATTCCCTGATGACATAGTTACTTATTTCTTTATATTGTATATTGCCCTTCTCACTTAAAGAAGTAAAGCTCAAAATAATGCAAAACAATGTCAGGTGAAAGCCTCGTAAGCTAAATTGGAGTATGCATGAACATAAACTTTTTTCCCAGGTTGCTGAAGTTGATTGCATTTTTTTTTCGGTAAAGTCACGACCATACCTTAGTTTTATTTCGTAATTTACTTTTGATTGCCATCCTTTGATTATCAAGGATTTAGAGTCATGATCAGAGACCGAGAGATCAGATACTATTACACTATAAGGTTTTGCTTGTCATAACAAAACAATTGTCAATACATGATGCAGATTTATTTTTGACATGTGTGAAAGAAGTCTTCTAAGTTGATGGAAGATCCCCTAATGAAGTGAAATGAACACTATGACTAATAACATTGACATTGAAGTCCCCTCCAAGAATTACATTTTTACTTTTAGAACATACTTTTACTAACATATCATTTAAAAGACACAAAAAACATCCAAAATTACCCACCAGAAGGTCTATAAATAACCAATCATATAATTTTTATACTACAACACTATCATATAGTTTCCAGAGGACTCGCTAAGATTATATTAGATCACAGCATTAGAAAATGTATCATTCTTATAGATAGCAAGTTTTCCACGGCCTTCGAAACCTTTACATAAAGCTCTACTTAAGGAGTTATCTTTCAATTCATACTCTTCAGTAGCCGTCCTCACTTACCATTGACTGGTAAAAAACAGAAAATCACAATAGTTGTCACTTATAAGTCTGTTATCTGGAATGAGTGTTTAATTACTGATACACTGGATATTTTGATGACAGAAGGTAACAAGTTGGAAAAATTACTCATCATCTCATCTAGTATTCTTTAGCCAAGAAAAAACTCATCCTTTTTATCAAGTACTGCTTTAGGAGAACCAGTCATAGAAGATACTTAGAATTTTCAAAACTATATGATTTGTAGCAGATATGCTTTTTATAGTTCTTTCAATATTGTTGAGCACCTCAAATTTGCATATTTTTTTTAAAATTTTCTGAATGAATTGATTAATCTACAAATGCGAATAATATTACAATCTGCTGCAATAATTGAATTCATGGTTTCCAGGGCTAATTTCTATATTCTACTATATCTCGAAATAAGTCATGGGTTATATCAGAAAGTTATTTGTTTGATTGAATTTTTTCATTTATCACGAAGTTGTGAAGATTTAACCCTTCTTCAGTACTTTAGAAAATCCAGTTGCATACTGGTTCCCATATATGACAATTTTATGTTAACTGCTGTAGAATACTAATATATACGTAATCTCTTCTTGACTTTCTTCAGGTTGTGTGATTTCATCAATTTCATTCAAATCTGATCTGTAAAGAGCTTTATCTGCTTGTTCTTCTTCTTTATAATCGTTGAGATTTTTTCCATCATCTTTATGAGTATTTGAAGCACCTTTTCTTTATTGGATCTTATACTTGAATTTGTTTATTTAGCGGTTTCCTATTTTTTTAATTTGATGCTTCATAACATCTGTATATTTTTAGCCTTTCTAATTATTCCTTTTCCTTTACAATTAATATTTACAGAGTTAATGTTTTCATTCATATCAGATTCGTCAAGGCAATTATGCATATTGACAATATTGATAATTCAAGAGTTGAGTTTCAGCTTTAGTCATTTAAACATTCTGTTTATTATTATTCTCCATGTCAGTTAATTCCTTTCTTTATCAAGTTTTTATGGTGGCTTGTAGTTCTGTAATGTTTTTATCTTTTTCATTCATTTGATTTAAGAATTTGTTCTCCACCCTTATAGGTCAAGATACAACTTATGTTCTCGCTGGAGTCTCTTTATGAAGTCATCCTTTTGAGAACCTTTCTTTTTCAGTTCATTTATGATCTGTACATCTACGTTATAAGCATATTGGTCGAGATTTTTTGGATGTAACATTCTTTCCACTAACCAGTAGTGTAGTGTCATCCGCATACATTACAAAATTTCCTTCAAAGTCATTGACATAAATTATATAAAGTAGAGGTCCCAAAATAGAGCCTTGTGGTACTCCAATAGTATACTTTAAACGTTTAGATTGATACTGATCTATTTCAACGTATTGTGTTCTATTTTGGAGATAACTTTCAAACCATCTACGTGAGTTTCCCCTAAAACCATACTTTTCCAATTTGTCTAGTAGAATTCTGTGGTCTACAAGATCAAATGCCTTACTTAGATCTAAAAAAATACCCAGAGTTCGATTACCCATATCTAGACTATTACATAGCTCTTTTAGTAGTTTTATTATAGCTTCTGTTGTTGAACGTCCCTTTCTAAAACCAAATTGATTTTCATTGAATAGTTTATGAAGATCAAAGAATGCAACGACTGAATTTGACACCCATTTTTCATAAACCTTTGCAAAAGCACTGGGGACAGTGATGGGCCTGTAATTTTCAACTTGGGTTTTATTTCCATTTTTATGTATAGGTTTTATTTTTCCAATTTTTAAGCTATCTGGGTAAATACCTTTTTCCAACTAGCAGTTGATGGCAAAAGTTAGTATGCCTGCAATAAATGACGAACATTTTTTTAAAAGATTGGTACTTATTTCATCATTACCAGTAGATTGAGAGGCTTTTTGGTTTTTGATTATATCATTTATTTCTGGTTCTGTTGTTGGTTTAAATGAAAAAGTAGAAGGATTGAAGTATCTAAGTGTGGGTTCTTCTGATGATTCTTTAACATTGCTAGCCAGTAGTGTGGGTATGGTATTAAAATATTTGCTACATTCTGGGGTGCCTGTACAATATTGTTATCAATAGTTAAGTGAATTGGTTCTAGCCTCCTTTTTGATTTTTTGCCTGATCCTATATTAGTCCAGGCTGTTTTATATTTATTTTTTGCGTTTGCAATTATGTCATTGTTATATTGCTTTTTTGATACATTTAGTAGATGTTTATATAACTTTTTATATTTTTTATAATATTCTTTGGTATCCTCATTTCCGTTTAAGGTTAGCGTATACAGATATTTTAATTTCTCTCCAGAAATGAGTAAACCTTTTGTTAACCATGGTTTTCTTTTATATGATGCCTGTTTTTCTTCTACTTTTTTTTAGAGGAAAAGCAATGTCGAAGTAATATTTGAAAGTTCAAAAAAAAGATCTCAAATTTTTCGTTTGCATTACCCCCACACATATACATATCATTCCAATCTTCCTGCCTCAAAAATGAGATAAAGTGTTCAATATTAAATTTATTATTAAGGTCTCTAAATTGCTGTAGAGGATTTGTTTCTGTAACTTCATGTGAGTTGGTATCAATATAGATCAGTTAACATTTTGATGATCACTAAAATAATTATCTACTACTGTACTCTTATATAATTCATAGTAAATGTTTGTGCAGATGTTATCTAGGCAATTATTTCCTCTTGTTGGGGTATTAATAGTTGGTATGATATTATAAGAAGTTAGCAGATCTGTTAATAAGTTGAGGTTTTTCGATTCATTGAGAAAATTGATATTAAAATCTCCACATAATATTACCTTATAGTTATTGAATTTTACAATTAAATTTCGGAGCAGTTCCTCAAAATTTTTGATAAAAATGTCAAATTTCCCGCTTGGGCTTCTGTAAACTGTTATTACTAAGCTATTTAACATGCCTTTGCCAAGTGACAACATCTGATTGTTGTCACCTCTAAATCCATTTTGACAGACTTAGTTTTTACTGTGTCAAAATTTATATTATTTCTGACATATATAGCTACCCCTCCATGTATAGATTTATCCCTACAAAAAGAGTTTGCAATCTGGAAACCCTCTATTTTTAGAGATGATATACTATTGTCTCTGGCCCAGTGTTCTGATACACAAAATATGTCGCAATTATTGTCTTCTAAGAAAATTTCAAAATCTAACAATTTGTTACTGAGCCCTTGTACATTTTGATGAATCAAAGTAAAAACCTTTGAAGTGGATAAATTGACAACGTTTCTGTTTTTATGAGGTAATGTTATTGAAGTGTATATGTTGACTAATATGTTTGATGTGATTCTTGGAACTTCGTCTATGGATGGTATTCTTGGGCCCGGAGATGATATAAAAAATAATCTTCAGTATTAAATTTCCTGGTTTCGATGTCTTTTAATTCTGTAGCAAGTGAGATCTGCCTATATTCTTGGAATTCCCTATCTGATGATTCAGGTACCTGGTTTATAGAATTACTGTTCATTTCCCTTGTTGAGATATCTTTTTGTTCAAGAAGACCTGATATCAATTTACAGACATGCCACTTTCCAATTCTTTTAATATTTTTACCGTTTCGCTGATAGTTCCTTTTTTTTTAGCAAATTATTACCCTTCACTATAGTTGATTTTAGGTTAATATTAAGAGATTCCTTTAGAAGAGCTAGGTTATTTCTGTATATCCTGTCATTAATAATATCTTCCGCCTCAAGTCTGTAGGGCTGTGTAATAATTAGGAAATTTGTATAACTTAATGTTCGAGAGACATGTCTCACTGGAAATTTGTGTGTGTTGTTCGGCCAGATAATAACAACGTCAGTTTTTGTGAAATCCTTGCTATTATTTATTGCGGTTGTTATAAGTTCACTTTCTGTACAGTTAGGCTTCAGAAATGACTCTATTACGTACTTGTCATTTAATTGTCTTCTGAAGAAATCTGCCATGTCTCGTCCAAAATTCCCAGCAATAAACAGGATTCTCTTCTTTAAATTAATTAAATACTTAATACTTATTTACTGCCTCCGAAATTCGTATTTGTTTGCTCTTCTCCTTTGTCATTTCACTTCTACGATCTCTCTTTACATTTTCATTAGAAACCGAAGTATCGAAATACATTGTTTTTGTTTTGGCTACGCCACTGAATTCCCATAGGGATGAGTCAGTAGAAATTCCTTTATTTACTGTTTTTACCTGGCTATCTGTTTGAGTGTCTACATTTTTTGTTGGTTTGTTTTTTACTTTCTCAATTTGCTTTTTTAGTTCTGCTATTATATTTTCCTGCTGTTGAAGTAAATTATTCATTTCGGTTTCATTTCTCATGACCTCTTCAACAAATATTTCATGTTGTTTCTTTAATTCCTTAATATGCTTATTTTTCATTTCATTGTCCTCACCTAAATCAAGGATTGTTTTCTCTAAAACACTGTGTTCTGTGTCCTGGTTAGATTCATCAAAGGTTTATTCAGAACAACATATTATCTTATTTCCCAATAACCTCTTCAACTTTCTGTACCTTGGTAGGCAGCTTTTGTGGAAAACACTATTACATTTTGTGCAAATATATAGTGACTGAATGGCTTATTTTTACAGCATTTAAAGATAGATACTTCTTCACTTGCGGCCATCTTGAAAGGTAATCACACAAACCACAGACAATTTAAGTTTACACATTCGAAGACAACTTCGGTAAAAAACTCGTGCACATTTTATACACACATAGTAAAGTAAGTTTGTTTTACTTTTACAGCATGCAAAAATAATTCAATTTTCTTTCGGGGCACCTTGATCATATACTCCAATTTGATATATTCTTTTGCGAGTTTGGTAATGAGCTAAATGAGGCTTTTTGTGCCAAAAAAGTTATCAAAATACTTTTTGACCGAGAACCCTGTGAAGTAGGTTTTAGATTAGATGATTTATGGAGTATACCCGCAATATATTTCTGAATCACTGAAATTTTGAGACATTTTTTTAGGACAAGATTACGCAAGAGAAACAATGACGATGAATTAAAGATACCCATCACCCCGACTGAAAATAAACCTGAACCTGAAATTAAAATCAAGAAAGAATTTTCAGAGCAGAAGATTGACCTCAAAGCTGCCCTAGAAAAACTTGGAGATAACATTGAGACTGTTACCATAAGCGATGAAGAAGATGGTTTGTAGCTCAAACATATTTTGTTCAAAAAATTATCGATTGAATTTATTTTAGAGGGACGGGAAGTACTGAGTTTCAATCCAAAAGCAAGTGGTTTAGATGAAAAAACTCCTACTTATCCATCTGTTAGAGATCTTTTTGGTGAAGATGAATGTGTCTATGTGATGGATGCCAAAAATGCAGGGAATATTGGACGTTTTCTCAATGTAAGTTTTCCTAATCGCACAGTAATAATTGAAGGGAATATTAAACTGTAGTATCTGCTAATGTAATATTCAATGAAAACATAAATATTTTGTCAAATATATACAGGTTGACAGTTGAACAATTTTCCACCCATAATATCTTTCTTCCAGAAAAGTGTATGCAAAAATGAAAAAAACACATCCATATTTGTATTACAGCCCATTATTTTGAAAATTTTGGGAAATATTTTCAGTACTCCTGGTTCTCCCCTCTACGCGGGGTAGAATCTCTAACGAGAAGGGGATCAAGTGAAACTTTTTTAGGGTTTTCCACTGTCTTTCAATCTCATCAAACAGTTTATTTTTGACCACTATTTGCTGAAAGAAAACATATTCAGTAGTTAATGGTTTTCAGGTTATAATTCTAATTATATATTACAAGCCATCCTTAGTAGAAATCAAAAGGAAAAATTATATACACAAGTAATGTTATTGAAATTTCAATGATAGTTCATTTGCTATCATTCAATGGAAGATTTTCAATTCTTATAGATGGAATTGCACAGACAGCCTTCTTTTCTTCCATTTCTTCAAAATAGATTCGTAAATTAATCATTGTTTAGAAAGTATGCTAAATAAGTACTTCATTTGTACTTTTTGGGTTGTTCAGTGATGACTTTGTTAAAGGAATAAATTGCAGAGGAAAAACTGACATGATTTTGAAAGGAATCCAAATTGTGATGTAAATCACAGGTATGTTATTGATTTGATTTGCTAAAACTAGTTCAATGACAAATAGAACTGAATGACAAAGTTTAAATTGAGGTTTTAGAATTTTTGTAAAACCATAATCAATTTCAAGTTCACCAATACAATACATCGGGTCATATAAGAACTCCTTAGTTACAGGCTCTCTATTGTAAAAAGATCTCATTGAATTTTTACCTCCACAATCTTCTATCTTATAGCTCAATTCATTGTCTTAAAAGTCAGATTAAACATCTTATTTTGGACTTTGATCTTTATTCAGTATTCAAATACATAGAACTTGTCATCATCTTCAGTAAGGATTGAATATAAAATTCAGCTTTTGGAAGCTTCTGCTTATATTTCTACTTATTTCTTTTTCATTGGTTATATCTTATTTATCCTGTGTATTAATTTGTGTTCCATTCTGTGCTACACGTAATTTACTTTTGTTAATAATCCCCTGCTGTAACTGACACTATATATACTATTGTCAGTAAATATTCAGCAAACTTCAGCGGTCCAATGCTTTTCTGCAGTGCTTGTGCATCTCCATTAAAATAAGTCTTCTAATGAATATTATATTCTATTCACTTTTGGAAAACCCTCTTGAAATTTCAGGTAGAACAATTTTCTTTTCAACTAGAAGACTCAATACAATACTTTTAGTTAAAATAATAATCCGAAAACAATTACCCACCGTGCAGACCAGTTCTAATCACTTCGGTAATTTTCAAATGCATTTTTCTGAATCTGTTGGTCAATTAATGATAAATTTTTGTCTATCAATAGAAATATGATTCAATGCCCATTGATATCCCTTTTAAATACAAAAAACAACATCTACCCTTAGTAGTAGGTTGAATCACAAGTCATATGAATTTGTCTTGAAAACATCTGTATTTTAATTGATTTCAATATTTATAGAATAACTTGATATTTTTGCATTTCAATTTTCAGCACTCTTGTTCTCCAAACGTGTTTGTTCAAAATGTGTTTGTAGACACTCATGATCCACGATTCCCTTGGGTGTCATTTTTTTCATCTCAGTTTATCAGGGCTGGAACAGAACTGACGTGGAACTATAACTATGACATTGGCAGTGTACCTGGACGTGTTTTATATTGTCATTGTGCTTCTTTGGAATGTAAAGGAAGACTTTTGTAATATTTTGTATTTGCTCATTTTCTAAAAAAATTCTATTTTCATTGTATGTAATCAATACTTCTTAGGCTACCTTTTTAGGATAATGTATTTTGTTTGGTGAATGCATTTCTTATTGTAACAGATAATTTCCTTCCAGCTAATTGAAAATAAATGATGAAAAATTAAACCGTCAAAAAAAAATTCATATCCATAAACACATACTAATAAGGATCAAATGATGTAATTGTCAGGCCGGATAAAAAAGATCAAGGCAATTACAGTTACGCTCGAATATTGGAAAAAGAAATCCAAGAATGCATCGATGTAATTACGAGGTAGATCAGACACTTACAAGTAATCTGAGTTTTACAGTTGAAAATTGAATATTGATGAAAAATTTTTACAAAATTGGCGCATTGATGATAATAATATCATAATTTTCATATATCTGAAATTAGTAATATTATGTTCAAAGCTTACTCTGTAATAATAAGAGTGACATTATCATTGAAAGATTTCTATTTCATAAATGCTCATTGAATTAATTTTATTCAACGCGTTACTATTTTAAATTGAGAATATTACCGGGATTTATCTATGTCTAGTAAATGATTGTAAATTATACTCAGATTTTCAATGTTTTTTATTCATATTAGGGTTTTTGTTGATTAAGATCATTTCGTGAAAAAGCCTTTTTGACATATTTTTTTCTGAATATAAAACTTTTGCTTGATCAAATTCAATTTTGTGTCCTGTTTCAATAGAATGTTGAGCTAGTGCACATGAATTTTTGTTTGAAGGTGATTGACAATGTTTCGTGATGAATTTCACTAGTTCGGACTTCCATTGTCTACTATATAAAATGATTTGAAATCCCTGAAACAAGTAAAAAAGAATAGTTGAAAATAACAATTATATTAAGCAACAATAAACCTGAAATGAAATGATAGTGAAATAACCTACAAGTAAAAATATAATTTGTAGGTTATTTCACTATCATTTCATTTCAGGTTTATTGTTGCTTAATATAATTGTTATTTTCAACTATTCTTTTTTAATTATTCTTTTTTACTTGTTTCATGGCTTTCGAATCATTTTATATAGTAGACAATGGAAGTCCGAACTAGTGACATTCACATGAATTTTTGTTTAATCTTATATCACTTTTGTGATATAAGACATTACTAATATCAGATATCTGAAAATTATGACATTACTAACATTAATACGCCAATTTTGTAAAAAATTTTTATCAATATTCACTTTTCAATTCTAAAACTCATATTACTTGTAAGTATTGTCCATTTTTTTTTAGTTCTTTTCTATTGTATTTCATTTTAGCGTCCTGGCGAAGTCTCTATTCAGAGAGGAAATCTTAAGCTGAACTATTTGAGAAATAGAGTAAGTTTGTTTTTTGAACGTGTCTGACTGAGAGTTCCGTTAAACCCTACCTTCCATTAGTGTTCACACAAATGTTGTTCCTGTTATAGAATTTTTGATGGGAAAAAACCTATGGTAAATATTGAATTTGGTATCGTTAAATAGAGTTTTGAAAGCTCTTGAAACGTGAAAATCTAGAAAAACTGCAACTAATAACCTACTGTGAACACGAAAAAGTGTTTATTATATATATTTTTTTTTTCATTTTTTACAATGGAAATAGAAACCAATCGAAACAAACAATAAAAAATATCCAGTGGCGTATCGGAAATAAGTAATAACCAGCTCATTAATTCAACCACTTTCATATCATTTATTTTTCCAAAATTGTCAACTTAAGTTATTGTAAACAAAAGCAATGCTGTCTTATTTCATTTCTACAAAATGCTCAAGTATATCTGTTTAAAATCTGTTTTTCCGTTAATTCACAAAGCATGTGTGATACATTGTAAAAATGTATACAAATTCGTCAAGGATCACAAAATAATTTGCTACCAAAATACTTTAGAAGATACTGAAGAGAGTTCCGTTTTTGAAAAAAGTATGTTGGAGAAAACAATTGATGAGTTTACTGAAGATGTGGAGGCTAAGGACAGGCACATAAACAAATTTAAAAAAATGAAATGAATGAATTCAATGAAAATGCTATAAAATCGAAAGATTTGTATTCTTCAATGAAAAGTCAAAAAAAATTATACTGGAAGTAAAATTTCATATAATAGAACTGCAAAAATTTATTGAGCAACTGAGCAGTAGACCCAGTTGTTCGATTTCAACACAAACTATTTCCAGGACTACTAAGCAAATTGGTGTCCAAATCAGTATTGAAAAAAAAGCACATCTGCACAAACAGAATATGATAAAGGAGAAATGGCAGAGATGGGAACAGAAACCTCAAACAAATATGTACAAGTAGTAAGTAGACATTCGGTTGAAGTGGTAACTCAGCCTAGATTGAGCATGCCGCCGCCATCTGAAGATAATATTGTCATGGATGACTTCAGATGGCCAGTCGGTCGGTCGGTAGCCAGGCGGTTCGACGCGGGTGCTTTTTTCACTCTCTTGAATTGACTGCCGTGTTAGTCGGTGGTTAGTCGTGCTAGTCTGAACGATCGATTTTCACTTGCTATCGTTCAACCCGTGTTAGGAATCACATGTTAAAAGGTAAGACCTCGTTAATCCTTATCTTGCACAAGTTTCGACTTCTGAGGGTTGACGTTCGTAGGGGTGCGACAGCTGGTTAACGGAAAAACAGATTTTAAAACTTTTTTTTAACAGATGACCTAGTTACTAGAAGCAACTTATGACTGAAGATGAGTATGCACTAAATTTTTCACGTATCCTACAGAAAATTTTGGAAACTGACAAATATCGAATAGAAGAAAATGTTAGGCTTTTTTCTGAAATTTCTGATCTGACAAAAAGCATATTTAATGACACACTAAAATATGGTTCTGAAGATTATGTTTCAGTTATGTGTAATACAAATAATATAAGTAAAACCAGAAATTTGTACAAATCATTGAAACAAATGATCCCAATTTGTAAATACACCAATCTGTTACTGATCATTGAATGTAATTCCCCAATAGATGAAATCATCATCAACAAAATGAGAAGAGAGATGAATTCATTAAGAAACGTAATGTAGACACTTTCACTGAAATGTTTGTGGACTATAGACAGGTAGGTAGCAAATTTGTTGTACTTGACAATATGAAATTGTATCTTTCACATAACAAAAAAGGTTATACTGTTCTTAGAACAATTCAGATTGATGGCAAACTTGCTAGACATTCAAATTATGTAAGTGAAGATAATTTTTTTGGAGAGTCGTTCAAGTCGGACTCCCTCTGCAAAGATATTGTAAAGATTGATCATGTTGATATAGATAGTAATTTTTATAGTTTTTTTAGATTCATGCATGTGAACGTTTAAGGCTTCATAAACAATTTAAATCTCATTGAAGTGATGAATAATTTTCACAATGTGACATTTTGTGTGTGTCTGAGCACTGGATCACAAAAGACAACCACATTCGTGGCGAGTTCTTATTTAAGCAAAGAAGTCAAATCAGCAAATTGACGAAATTTCTGCTATCAAAAATTAATCTGTGCTGTTCGTTTCAGAATTGATGTTGAAAAAATTGTGTTATATCTGTGTTTAGACAGACAGATAGAATTTATTTCATCATGTTATGCATTCAATACATTAATGACAGGTCAAAAAGAGTGCAGATGCACTCTGTACTGAGTACAAAATTGAAAGATAATATACAATTATTAATGATCATTTGAAATAAAAGTTAACTACCGAGTGGAATAAAGTATTAGTGATACCACAGTATAGAGGTAAACACAGTAAGTTCACTCTCCGCCATATTTGGGTTAAGATTCCCCACCTCGAATTTTATGTGCGGCCGAACTACAGCGCCACCGACTGAATCTGAGGCGTTTACCAAGCGAGCCAAATTGAGGCATGGAATATTATTACAGAGTGAGTCGTTGTAAGTGGTGGTTTTGTATTTGTGAAAAATTTGTGTTTAGTTTCAAAATGAGCAAGTGTCAAGCTGTGGGTTGCTGTAATTTGCAGGGTGATGTCGGATTTCCAATTGACGAAAAAAGCTATGTTTTTCTATTATTTATTATGTAAGATTGAAGTAATGAACATATAACGAAAATCATAAAATAAATTGTTATAGACCAGTGGTCGCCAACCTGTCGATCTCGATTTTAATTTAAAATATACACACTGCAAAAGGAGAAACTGAAACAGTTAAAAAAGCAGTTTGGACAACAATCAATATTTTTAAGAACAGTCGACAAAAATAAGGCTGCAACTGAAGCATCATACCGTGTGTCCCAGAAAATTGCACAAAAAAAGAAACCTTATGAAGACGGGGAAATGATAAAACAGGCGTTTTTAGAAGCTGCTGATTCGTTATTTGCCAAATTTAGAAATAAAGACGAGATAGTTTCAGCTATAAAATCTATGCAACTTTCTGCTAATACAGTGATGAGAGAGTAGAAGTAATGAGCAATGATATTTTTTTACAGTTAAGAACTGACTTAGATAACTGTGTTTATTTTTCACTTCAACTGGATGAATCAACAGATGTCGTTGACACTGCCCAGATGTCCGTGTTCGTCGGGATGGTTTTTAGTGATTTTATGATTAAAGAAGATCTTTTGAAGTTCATTCCACTGAAAGGACACACTACTGGACATGAGTTGTTTTCTCATTTAAAAAATATTATTTCTTCCGAGAAAATTCCAATATCGAAAATGGTAGGCTTGACAACCGATGGCGCTCAAGCTATGGTGGGTTGTGATAAGGGTCTGGTGGCGTTATGTCGTAAAGATGAAACTTTTCCTTCCCGAGAGGAAAAGAGGAAGTCCAGGGACACCCTGTATAATATGTCCAGAACGGACATCCTATAAATGTCTAGGACGGACACCATATGGATGTCCACTACGGACACTATGTGGACGTCCATTACGGATGACATATGGATGTCCTAAAACGTAAAAAGGCAATATCCTATGGATATCCATACACACTGTTAAAAATAATTGTAAAAAAAATGGATATACACTGTAATTTTCACAATATTTATAGGGTAACTTCAATTTTACACAATAAAAAACGTGATAATGGAAATTAAACAAATCACATAAGATTTCATGTGAAGTTCAATTTACATGATATTTTGTGTGAAATCCCCTCCAAGAAACGTGGTACATCAGT